TCTAGCAACAAAACAATTTTGGAGTGGCTGTCCACCCCAGTTGTACTTCTACGTATGAGCCAACTATGTTGTACTGTCTAGGGTTAAGATTAAAAAATAATTAAGTTTGTTAATAACAATTTAAAGTCGATTTTTAGTTAACAAATAAAAAAAAATGTTAACACTGATGCCAATTTGCGCAGTGGCGGATCCAGAATTTACTCCAGGGGGGTTCATCCTTAAAGGCCTTCCTCCAATAGGATCCAAAAGTCTGCGTTTGTCTGCGAATGACTGCGTTGCGTTGATTTTAGCATGTGTTGCTCAGGAAGGAAGAGTAAGGAGACCGAACTCTGTGTAGAAAGCGCTTTAAAAATCTCAGAGAAATATGCACGAAAAGTGCCAGGCTCACTGCGTTCTAGTCGACTTCCAATTAAGTTGATCATGCGCATAAGCTGTGTTGTGTCTCTGTTTCTCGTAAAAATTGTGCGAGTGAGATGTAAGTTCTAATGTTTACATTTAGCCGGTCTTAGTGAGATACATACATATACAATACATTTCGTTTTAATAATTATTTATTTATTTTATTTAAAAATTGTCGTGTTGTGTGCCAGGATGTAAAGAAAGAAAAAGAGTCTAAAAACATTAGTCTCTTCTATCCTTCTACGGTATGTAAATAGACTCTAGTTATAAACACAATTCTTCTTAACCATTTTCGCAAAATTTTTCCCTTTTCATAAATATATTATTAAATTATTTTGAAGATCTAAATAATATCACAATTGCAAATAAATAAATTTGCTTTTAAAATTAACACTGTTTAAACTATTTACTGTTTTAACTATTATTATACTAACTTTATGTTTAAACATAACCACACTTTGTATCTATGTCAACACTGAACTTTAGTTCAATGCGCATGATCGACTTAATTGGTGATCAACTAGAACATAGTGAGTCTGGCACTTTTCGTGCATATTTCTCAGACAGTTGTAGAAGCAGAGTTCGGTCTCCTTACTCTTCCTTCCTGGTGTTGCTATATAGCAACCGACGCAGACGCAGAGTTTTGGGAACCTATTGGAGAAAGGCCTTGAGGCGCGTATCCACTAGACGAGCGCAACACGAGCGCAACACGAACCGAACGTTACCCAGTTGGGACGTACCAAAACGTTGAGCTAACATTTAAAGAATAAAGATTTAGAAAAGTTAGAATTTAAAATTCTTTTATGTGTAAATGTACAAGCAAAAAAAGGGGAAACTTCAAAAAGGGCTCAACTCATAATTTTTTTTTAAAAGTTTTTCGACACTTTTTTATTACTGTCATAAATTAAAAAATTTGATGTTCACAATTTTTATTGGCTATGCAAAAATAATGACGCCGATAATTAATAAAGATTTTGTTCTGAAATTTAAAAATCTAAATTGAAAAATTTGAACTTTTTAATTCATTTCTAAAAAATTTGTAAAAAAAAGTTTACATTTTTTAAAATTATTTCCTAATCTAGAAAATATGTATATTTTTAGTAAGAAATCAGTAAAGTTCAGAAAGTATTATTTTTTAACTATTATATAGTAAAAGATAAATAAAATTTCAGGTGATTAATTTAATTATAATCATATATATAATTAATACTCTTAATTACTTTTTAAAGTAAAAATTAATTTTTAATAATAATACGTTACCTTTATTTGAATCAGTTAAAGGCGACTTAATGTTTATTAATATAATTAGTTAAATTCTACTAATTTACAAAGATTAGTATTTTGGTTTGCTTTTTTTAATGAGTTATTTTTTAATAGTTGCAAAGAAAAATATTAGCAAAAATTTTTCTGATAATTATTTTTTGAATAATAAATAAATTTTTTTGTTTATGGGAAACTTAGGTTTACTAGTGGACTCGCAAATAGAAAACTGGGGACACACTTTTATTGTTGCTTTGAGGTATTGTCATAAACCGACAACGGATGGATCGGCTGCGAGCACGAACCGAACGGTCCCAAATTTTTTTCTACCCTTTTTTCTACATGTACTTAAAAATAGTGGCGAATGCTTCAAAATAACTACACATGTAGTACATATTTTCTTGTGGCTAGTCGAACGTTTAAACCATGCGACTTTGCAGGGAAAATTTGGTGGATCGACTTGGAGCATGGGCCGAACCGAACACACAATAGGAAAATATCGGTCATTCGTGTTGCGCTCGTGTTCGGTTCGTCTAGTGGATACGCGCCTTTAGATGCGGTGAGCGATGACCATAATTAGCTGACCTTTTTTTAATGTAAATTTTTCGCCCCAGGGGGGGGTCATGCCCCCCATGACCATCCCCTTGGATCCGCCACTGAATTTGCGAATTTTTCATAAAAATGTATAATCGTGGGTACTTCCTAAGCAAAAGTAATATAGATTAACGTCAAATTTTGTATTTTGCTTTTGGTGCTGTTCGGAGAATGTTATGTTGTACGCAAATTTGCTTCTCGAAAAAACTCATTTTCCGTTTATCATCTGTTAAGGCCCTATTTTGTATCAAAAGTTATAAATAAATTTTTTATTCTATACCTTAAAACGTGTATAATAATACACCCAGAGTATAACTTTAAGTTTACATGCATTAAATTCACAGTCAACGAAATGAGCAATTCAAAAATAAAAATTGGAATAAAAATTATAATAGACGGACTAAACTCGAAAAAAAAGTTGCGTCTTACTTAATTAAACTTACATATATTCTAACTAGCTGGTAAAACAGTTCATTAGTTTTAATATAATTTTTCGGACACATTTCGGAACGAATTTTGTGCGATTATCGTGCGAATTACTATCGAATTTTTAATGGATAATTTAAAAAAAATTCTGCTGTGAAATTCTTATGAAATTCCGTACGTGTAAAATATTTTCGGCCGCACATTTCAGAACGAATATCGTAGAGTAGAAGGGGGTAATGTAGTGCACTGGCTTTACCGACTAAACAAATGAATTGAATTACTTGCCGTTGGTATGGTAGGTTTAAAGTATCAAAGTTTATCAATGTATATCATTTTGGCTTTATTGTGCTTCTTCATTAAGAAGTTGTAGCATCACTTTAAAAACACTAGATTTCGAAACCATATTTCTGTTTTTTAGTGACTTGAAGAAAATGTAAAACTCGTTAAAAAAGTATCAGGTAAGTGCTTTTTCCATGTAAAATTTACTTCTAAACACAAATTTAGTATTGTTTTGACGTTTAATTTTGTTTTTATTGAGATATTGAAGTCAACGTGAAGAAAGTGCTTGGGGGCAATATAGTGCAATTATACAGAGTACCCTAAAGATGTATTATTTAACCATGTTTGCTTTTTGCAAATTTTTGCAGTTTTCTTTTAGTTTTACCTAACATATGACCAAAGAAATCTCTAGTTTATAATGCTGTCCACGAGACGAGATAATGCCATGCAAAGTCTCGATCTCGTCTCGGTTTTTACATGCAAAGTCTCGTCTCGTGGGCATCACTACTAGTTTATAGTTTTTTAAGTTTCTTATGTTCCTAATATTATAACTAATAAAGTGGTGCACTACATTGCCCCACAAATTTTAGAATGTCGAAAAAAAGTGCCCTCAGTTTTTTGGATATAGAAAAGCTCCATCTACATCTACAAAAAAATAATGTACACCATAAATGTATCAAGAAGCATTGTCTTTCCAACGAGTCCTTATTGATAAAAATTCGTTGAAAATTGCGACCACAGGAGTCTTCGAAAGAAAAGTGCACTACATTACCCCCTTCTACTCTACTATATTCAGAAAATTTTAAAAATATTCTACTTGATATATAATATTTAATTATGTTCCCCTATAGAAGTCTGCACATAATTTCTGCTACAAATTTTGTAAAATATTTATATCGAATTTTGTATGAATAATTTTAATAATATTCTGATGGAAAGTTCGTATGGAATTTTGCACGTAATTGTTGCTAAAAATTTTGTCTTACGTAATCTGTTTGAAATTCGTTCGAATAATTTTCACCTGTGAAGTGAAAACAACATTAATTTTATTTTTGGTAAAGGTGAGAGTATGTGAAAAAAATTAACTTGAATTTTGGTGCAAGTGAGAGTATAAGTGAAAAACAATTATTTTCAGTTTTGCTAAAAGAGAAAGTAAGAGTGAGAGTGTAAGTGAACAAAATTTAATTTAGATTTGGTAAAAGTCCCCTTGAAAATTATTTTAAAGAAGAAAAACGTTTTTCTAGAACGGATCGATTAGGCTCAATTTAGAATATCAGTTTCCGTTCTAAATGTCAATTCACGGCAATTCTTCACCCACCAGAATATAAAACAGTCTAAAAACTTTTTTTTTGCATACATATCGTCGGAGCTACTGCAATACTGCACATCTGCAAATTCATTAAAGGCTACAGTGCCGCTCAATATAGGATTTATCCACCCTAAGGCAAATAAAGACTTTACAAAAGTTTTTTATTTTAATTTCTAATAAAGGTAAAAAGTTGGTTAGGGTATCATTTTAAAGCTAATATTCCCTACTTTCATAATATCAAAATATGAAGTTTAAAAAAATTTTCTTAATTCTTTAATTGCAGTTAACAGTAAACAAAATTTTTTCAATTTTTTGACGTATGACGGGCAAATCCTATTGAGCGGCACTGCACATTGCATAAAGAATTGCACAAAAAGTAGCCTTTAAGGAATTCGCAGATGCGCGGTATAATAAATTAAGTAACTACTAAAAAGTATAGATCGTTTAATAAATTCAGAACATTTATACTGATCATAGACTACCGAACATTTAAATCTCCTTTTAATGAAATAAAATTGAGAAAATAAAATAGTAAAGAGGATGAAATATCAAAAGCAGATTGTGTCAAATGTTTTGTTTTTTCTTTACCTAAAGTTGATGAGGAGATTATTGATATAAGAGCTTTATCTTTATAATGTATGATCTGATAGTGAATTTGAGACGGAGAATTTTATTATAATAGCATTGACAGTAATCTGGTCATTTTTTGACAAGGTGAAAGAATGTTACTTACTGTGACAGTCGACAACCGTGGGCGACACTTGAGTACCGGTTCCCGTACTAACATTCGTTGTTGATGTTTGTACAGCGCCTAAACTTCGGTAACCTTCATCGGAGACCTCGCTACCGTTGTCGGAGTGTTCACCATCGCCGTGCGGTGACTTGGGATACTGGGGACTTTCTTTTCCGAAAGATTCACTCGTTTCGTCCTTGACGGGAGGACTTGGTGTTGGACTACGACTCGATGAATATTCTTGACATTTATAATTGTAAATTGTTGACTCATACTTTGGAGTGTCATCTTTGTCTGTTGTTCTACGAGCAACACCACCATCCACGACGTAGCGTTTCGAAAATTCCTCCGAGAGTGGCACCTTTGCCTTGATCTCTTGGTGAAGGTCCTTTTTAGGATCCTGAAACATTTTTTTTTCTCATTAGTCATCTTCTACACTTTGTAATTCTAAACTCTTCAATACTAATTGCGTAATTTATAGTGAAAATAAAATTCACCTGATAACTATCCTGATGTCTGCTGTGATACATTTGAGATCTTCCATCGTACTTAACTTGTCGAATTTCTTCATTAAGTGCCTTTCGCGTTGGATCGAGATTTCTGGGAGATGATGGTTTGCCATTTTCCACCTTTGGAGTTGGACTTCTCGATCTTGGATATGTCTTCGGTGTTGGTGATCGAGACCTCAATTTTCCGGCATCGACTGATTGATGTGTCTGATTAGTGAGGAACTTCCTCTGTGGTGTGGGACTTCTGGAACGATTTCCCATCTTTTTCACGTCTTCACCGAGAAGTCTGTTGGCTTGGTATGGAGTAGGTGATCGAGATCGATTGCTCGAAATGCTCCTGGGGATTTGCAATGATAATAGCTGCTGATTTTGAGATTGTAAAGTACCAGCACAGGATCCAACACTAGAGGCGGAACTGCGGCGGGTCCTTGGAGGTGATCTGAATGAAAAAAAGTGATATTCTATCGTGCTAAATATCCTCCCATAACAATTCTAAATGCTACCCTATGTCGTCACATAAATTTTCATTAAAAATATTCATTTTTAACTATTAGGAAAGCATCTTTTGAACAATATTAATCATTTAGCTCAAAATGTTCGATTTCTAACTTTTTTGTGACTATTTAAATTAAAATTAAAATAATTATGGATTAATAGTTCTTTTTGTTTAAAATTAGGATATAGTATCACAGAAGAAATTGATGTCAGTAAATGTAGTTTGTTGGAGGCTAATAGTTGATAAAGATAAAGGATAAAGGGTAAAATTGAAGGAGGTATAATTTAAGCATTGGCTGTTTTTGGTATTCACTGAGGGTTAACCCCTAATTAACAATGATCCAATCATCAATAACATTTAGTTTCAGATCTATAACCAATCACGACTAACTTTGATAAAGCCCCATAAAGACTTTAAAGAGTCGTTACCCTAGGTCAAAATTTAGGTCAAATTATAGCTATTTTTAACCTACATGTCAAAAAGGCGACCCCTTAGAGCCCTTCAAAAGGTCGTTCCCTTACGTCTAAATTTAGGTTAAATTTGCCCAATTTTTCGACTTGTAGGTTAAAAAATAGGTCACATTTGACTTAAATTTTGACCTAGGATAATGTCCCTTTGGTGGATCCTAATGAGGCCTCTTTTTTACCTGTAGGTTGAAAAATACGTGAAATTCGACCTAAATTTTGACGTAATTCTTACTACTTTCCTAATATATCAAGTGGGAGGTTTGACATCGAGGTATAATGATGTGCACTGTAGATTATTGTCCAGTACACACCATTAGAACTAGGCTGAAGATAAAACCGGTTGTACTCAGGAGAGGTTTTGTACATTTTCTCTCTCCTCTGGCGAGAAAACCCATTAGACCTTAAGTGAACTTATGGAGAACTAAACAGTTCCGCCATGACTGTCACGTTACACATAAAGGTTGTAGTAAGGTTACACCTTAAGGTTGAGGTAACGTTACAAGTAAAATGGTAACACTTCTATATTGAACTACAAAAAAGAATAAATAAATATTTTTAATAACATAGTGTAGCTACACTACTGCGGTCGCGGGGGGCTCGAGTTATCGGGACGCCTGGGGTCGATTTTCTAAGTTTGAAAACAACTAACTTCATAGATCACGAACATGAGATAGAAAAAGATACAAAATATATCTGTCCTTTTTAGGGTTCCTTACACCTACGGTGCGGTGTACCCCTAGTAAGAATGAGGAATTAATAAGAATTCGAAATTTTTAATTCTTTTGACTTCCGTTTCTGACCAATTCTTTTCATTTTCATTTGGAGAAGCCGAAAACAAGCTAAGTTTAATTCTTTTGAATACCGTTTTAATATTTTAAGCGGAAAAAAATTTGTCTGTCCGAAGATTTGAACCCTCAAGTTTCATTGTCGGAGACAAACAGCTTTGTCGAGTACCGAGTACTACACAGTATTTCAGAATTCACAAAAATTCAAAAATTAAAGAAATATTAAAACGGAATTTATTAGAATTCACTTTTAAGAAATCTTTGCCTCAAAAAGAAATACCTACATATAAATTAAACAGAAGCGGAATTCAAAAAATTGTTAATTTAACCTTTTCTACAAAAGTTTTAACTTTTCAATTCTTCTCAATTTCTTACTGCTTACTGTTTTCTACGTAAACTACATAAGAAATGACGCATCATTTTCCAACCCTGCTGCAGACCGACACAGATCAGATATTATTTCGAAAGGTAACTTGGCTAATAGCGCGCTGCCGACCGGCTACGGTTAAATCATAGTTTTGACTGGGACAATTTTTTAATAATAGACCAAGATATTAATTACACTAAATGCTTAGTGTCCGAAATGATCCATATTAATTTGCGAAAAAACTCGGTTATTAAAAAAGATGTACAAAATCTCAGTAATTATTACAACATGACCTTAAGTTCATGTTATTCAGTGTGACGTATTTCCATAGTAAATAAGTATATGGCGCACGTGACCACTAAATAACATGTTCGTAACGCAAAGAAACACTCGTAACTTGTCCGCTCGGATTTACCTTGACAAATGTCTCACTCTATTTTTGTTTGCTGATGTGTCGTTCACCCCATCTTCATCGATTCATACTCATCATGTAATGCGAACTTCAATTTTGAAATAGTTTCTAATCGTACTCGTTCAATTCTAAACGTTCTCTTTGAACAAAATGTATAAAGTGTGTTGTATACCAATTTTGCAGCAGAAAGTACCCTTAATAAATAACTTGCTCAATTAAAAATTATGAATAAAAATAGAAAATACAATATGTAATATAATAAAAATATTTGTTAAAAACTTATTTCAATAAAAGTAATTTTAATAATTATTTACATTTTTTATTAATACTAATAATAGTTGATGAACCTACTAGAACAATTAATATTTAATTTTGTTGCGGGGAATTTTAACCAATGCTAATTCAAATAGACAGTGGCGCCCTCGCTTAGGATAAAATTTGTTGCAGGGAATTTTTACCCCAAAATTAGGTTAAAATTTATACTTTTTTTCTTGTGTTAATTAATACACTGTAGCAGTACTGTATATTAACTTTGACAATCAGTACTGGCAAAATGTTATCATACCAAAGTTCTGCCTTCTCTGGCGACATATTTTGAATTAGTACTGCGACATCAGTAGTCGATTTCTGATTGGTAATAATCAATTAATGTATGAAATAATTTATATTAGTGTAAATTACTTATTATCATTACCACCCGCTTCTCTGTGATTTCATTACAAGGTATTCAACTCAAATTAAATAGCTTAAATCTGAAGCACTTTTTTTCACAGAGTTCTGTGAGGAGAAATAGCCTTCCCCCATCATGCAGCCAGTGGCCTAAATTCAAGCTTTGAATATCATAAAATTTATAATTTTTATATTAGAATGAAAAAATTTTGAAGCTGTCTAATCCCAATGGGAAATGCCAGTGTAGTGCCGATGCTCACCACTGGCTTAGTACTCAGACGATTGTTCGGCGTAGTCTAGCCGAGCCTCGACAATTAGTGCTGGCGCAGTACAGAATTTTTGTTTCGCCAAAGCTTGGACAAGGCTCGGCGGCAAGTGCTGGCTGAGTATAGAAAAATTGTTCACAACGCTCTTTGCCAACATTGCTTTTTTGACATAAACTTGAAAAAAATTATAAAAAAAAGTTTATGAATGTTTATAAATATAAATTTATTGAAAAAAATTAATATTTTACTTTTCAGTTGTTCATTTTTTATTCTTGTCAAATTTAATAATAACAATTTAACACAATTGTCTAATTTTGTAAATAATAAATTATTTAAACAAATTAAAATTATAAACAAAATTTAAACTTTAATCTCAATAATAATTTGGTTCCTATTAAAATACTATTATACTTCTTACTATGAATAAAAAATTATTAAAAAATTACCACGTAATTTAAGAATTACGTAAAATGTTAAATGCAATAAGTAAAGTAATTTAATTTTTAAAAATTTAGTTTAATTTATTTTATTTCAATTTATTATTTCTAACGTATCCCTATTTTTTTCTCATCTTTGACTCAATAATTGTATGTCTGAATGATACTGAGATATTAAAATTTTACTGCACACACGTGTCGTTTGCATAGTGGTTAGAGCGTTAGTCTGTTAGTCCGTAGGTCGTAGGTTCGATTCCCCTCGTCAGCAATTTTGTTTATTTTCATAGGTTTGCGATATTTCTAGATTCCAATCGTCAGGTACTAAAATATGAAAATCTAATGCACACTTACTGTAATTGTTTATTATTTAATTTTTAAATGTTATAAACAATTTTTTTCTACTTCATTTACTATATCCATATTGTTAGTCTCCATCTTTAATACAATTTCTTTAAGAAGAGAAATATTTTATGAATAATAACTATTTATTAATATTATTTACCATTTTGTTGTTAAATTATTTATAATTATTAATTTACGACTAATTAATAACAATACGGCATTTATTGCGGCAATATTCTCAGCCAGCACTGGTCCAGTGCTGCGCCAGCGCTGTCTGGCAGCACTGACAGACAGTACTTCGGCAGCGCCGGACGGCGTTATCATCCCAGAGTTATGCCAGTGCTGGCTCTCAGCCTTGCCGCCAGTGCTGCCAGTGCTGGCGCAGTACTACGCCAGTTGTAAATTTCCCATTGGGATGGAAGAAAACTCCTCTCCGTATATCCCTGGTTAAAAAACCGGACAGATTTTGGACTAATCCGAAATTTGTCCGAAACAGTGAGGTTTATGGTCAGGTTTCTGTCACCCGAAATTAATCCGGACAAATCCGAACTTTTTACGGTTTGTGAACAACTAGTGAATCCGGAATGTATCCGAAACAGTCAACAATTAGTCCGGACAATTTATTGAATGTTAATAAAAAATAATTATACAAGTTACACATATTAATTATTATATTACTTTATAGTACTTTCAAAATATTTTTCAATATACACGGAGAAAAAAATGCTGTTGAATCAATGACATATGGGTTTGATTCATTGAATAGTGTCATAACGGGCTGCCTAACGTATATGCTGTTGTTTTGAAAGCACCGATTCTAATGATTCGATAGTATCACTTTCTTTGAAACAAAAGCATATTTCTCAAATTGACAGCATACTATGTTAATTCGAAGGTGAATCCTTTTGAATCAATAAACAAAATTTTTTAATTTAACAGTATATGCTTTTGAGTCAATGACTATAACTTTTAAATTTAAAAGCATCATTTTTATGATTCAAAAATTTGTACTCTTAATTTTTTTAGTTGTTGCTATCGATTGAATAACACCATACTGTTAATTCAATTCTTTTATGTGGTTAAATATATACCAACGATAAATTGAAAAAAGGGAATTTTTGTTCACATGTTTTTTATATACTATAATTAATTCTCACACCTTTAACACAACACTTTTTATACACATCTTTTTTTCAAT